ACAAAAAAGGGAACCAAACAGGCCAAATATTGATTAGCCAAACATTTCACAGAACTACTGGAAACAAGGCCAAGCTACTTTTTCAAAACAAATTACATAGAAGAAAACACAGCCTACAGGTGGAATGGCTGCATCTTTGGTCAAAGTATTTCTGCCTATAGACAGAATAAAGAACAATTTTGAATAGATCTATTAATTGAAGGGAAAATTATCAGACATTATGCTACCAAGCCAAATACTGAGGACACAGAAAGCCAAGACCAACAGCTAGATCAATGGGGACTTGTAAATGTTCCACCACTGACAAAACAATACAGCACAGCGCCCTGTAACTTCAAGAAAAGCTCCACCATCAAACTGCCAACAATGCTGTACAACATCTCCTGCAACATGAAGCGTGAAGGAACAGCCCTCCAACATCCATAGAACAGACTAAGCATTCTCAATGAAATGTCAGATTTTTGTTCATTTTTCAAGTGTTGTTTTCAATTTTATAGGCAGGTTGAAAAAAGGGCCGTTTTTGTGGTTTAATATGGGGCTCACAGTAACAACACATTCTTGGAAACACGATCATTTAGGACAAAGTGTTAAAAAAAAAAAAAAAACACAATACATTTCTGGTATACTTATTTTGAAGTAGGTCTTGCTTTATAAACAATAGCAGTTATATGTAATTGGGATCACAGTGAATGCCACGATGCCCAGTGAAAACTAAGCAGCTGCCTGTTAATTGACAAGGTGTTGCCATTTCTTTCTGTTTTATTTAAAATTACCTTTTTAACGGTTTGAATGTTAATGCTTTTCTGTCTCCACAGTCTCCAACACTTTCCTGTTTTCCATACAGCTATTACAGCTAACACAGTGAGCATTTCAACACAAACTGCCAGCAAAGCATTTTATGCACCTAGCAGAACACAGATTGTTTTCCTCATTCTGTTTTCACCCCAACACACCCTCTTACCATTCTCCGAGACAACATTCACAGCCATTGTCGTTATATCTTTAACGCAGGCAGCCTGAAATCCTTTAGCAGGAGGAGTGCTGTAGGTGCTCAGCCCAGTTGCTGTATTGATGTAAATCGTCTTACCCGAGGAAGCATCAAAATCTTGCAGCCAGTCAGAACAACGCAAATCATCTCTGGGGTCGCCTTTACTTGTGTTGTCTGCAGAGAACGCCACGTTACTTGGGAAGGTTACACAGGGAACCTCCAAATCTTTCAAGTTTTGTTTTGAGAGTTCAGCTAACACGCTTTTATCTTCACAGATGACGTTATGGCAATCTTTTTTTGCCGATAATGGTAAAACACCGCTTGCAGAGACTGTGTATTCCCCTTCAGTGCTGCTGAGTGGTGATGAGCTGACAGTGTGCTTCGTGAGTTCTGCTCTCGTGTCGTCTGATGGCTGGCAAGCATCCCCCTTAGAAACGCCGCAACTTTCCCTCATGTTTTCCGCTGTCAATTTACACATTTGATGTGCATTGCACAAACCATCATTATTTGAAGATTCAAGATCAAAAGAGGTGTTATCTTTTCCACTGGAATCTGTTTGGAATTGCTCACCAAGTTGTTTTACTTCTTTGCGGTCGCTCTTCATTCTGGACAGTTTGGATGATAATGATCCTGGAGATCTTCTACTACTTATGTTTGTTTTAACCTCTGAGTAATCAGACAACGTCAAAGGGCTCTGACAAACGGCTCGTTTGTCTGGTGAAACTTCTCCGCTGCAGACTAAAGTCTCATCTAAAGATCTCACAAGCTGGCTGTTATTATTGGAATCTGTGTGTTCCAAAGTCGGAGTCTCACAAATACTCCAGCCACCATGACCGTCATTCTGCTTCTTTGAAAAGTCACGGTTAGCTTGTAAATTACAAACAGGGACACCAGATTTGTTCTGCTCTGCTAACGGCCTTGGCAGCACACACTTGACTCTCCCGTAGTATCTCCTGAACTTTTCTAGGGAGCCCAGCTGTGTGGATAGGCTCAGCTTCTTACAGGGCTGGGATCTTGGCTCAGCTCTTTGTCTTCTAGGACTTTTTGTAGCTTTATTGTGAGGATTACCTAAAGATGTTGCCAACGGCAATTCTGTAACATCAGATGTTTCATAATGTCTTTTACTGGCAGCAGTGGCCATGGCTATCCCCTCACTTGCCTGATTTGACAAACTTTTGTTCTCTGACTGCTCACCTCTGTCAGCCGTGTGTCCTTCTCTGCTGCAGGGAGGTGCGTGTTCTTTATTTGTATTACTGGAAACATCCTTAGCATTTAAAGCCTGAGCGGGAAAACTCACTTTGTGCCTAAATGTGTGCTTGGCACTGACAGGGCCAGGTCTACTGTGCATGTTTAATGCAAGACTTATTTCTGTTTGTTCACGCCCACGTGGGGGTTCACTTTGCACATGTGTTTTGAGGCCTACAGAACATGTTTTTTTGGGTACTGAACTAGCAGCTCCCCTCCCGGCATCATCCACCACTTCAGTTGTCCCCCTGTCTCCTTTTCCTGCATTAGACAGTCTCATCAGTGAACTTCCAGAGACAGTTTCAGATTCTGTTGCTGTTTCAGTAGGGTCTTGTCTCTCAGACAGCCACCGAGTAATATCAGCATTCAAGTTACTGACTGTGGTGCTTTGCTGCACTACTTTGTCTTGCTGGTTTCCCACATCTTTTTTGCAGTTGTCTGCACGATGCAGCAGGTCACGACAACCGTCTATTTTTATTATCGCTGATCTGGCCCCTTCAGTGAAAGAGGAATGGAGATTTTCTGAAGATCTGAGGTGAGCATCAGGCACTGTTTGGGGACAATTAGCGGCTTTTGGCTCCTGTTCTGAGATATCTGATACAGTGAAATTAGAAGTTGTGTCATCTCTGCTGGGCAGTGGAATCTCTGCTTTACTGTTTCTACACGGATCGGTTGGTTCAGCAATCTTTTGATTTGAAGAAACTTCAACCTCCTGTAGATTTTTATCCGACTCTGTAGGATTTGAAGATTTTTTTCCCATCGTGGATTTTCTTTTGACATCTTTTGATTGCAACTTACGTATTTCATAGGAATCCAAAATTTCATCACATGCTTTCTTAAAGTTTTCTTCGATGCTCTTTTCCTCAGAGAGCGAGGGCTTTGGAACTGGAGCATTATACAAACAAAAGTCATTATCTTCATTAAATTCTCTGATGTCCTCACTACATGGTTCAATAAATAAATGTTCTCGCTTCAAAAACATTTTCACTCCTTCCTCTACGCAAGCTAGAAGAGCATCCCAGTTCTGGAACTCGATCAGTGTTTTTGCAGGTTCCAGACACACATCGTAGTCACTGTATGCACAGGACACATTGAGAATAAAGATCCCGTACAGCTCTGGGCCACTACGGTGGCGACCAGGACTTGAGCAAGCCTGTCTGTTTGCAGGACCACTTTTTGCTTTGCAAATGACACTTTGTTTTCTTAATAAAAAATCAATTAGTTTGTGTAGCCTCGTCTTTAAAACAAGCCTCCTATTCACATACAAGAACTGCATGTTCTTGTTGTAATGTCCTTCAGAACTGATATAACCACTTATCTCAAATCCTCCAGACTTATGACTCACTTCTCTTAACTTCTGTGATCTGCCCAGCCCATAGATTTGACAAAAACGAGAGTAAACGTCTCTCGTCTTAGGGAGCTGGAGCACCATGGCACAAGAAACATCGTTCCTTAATGAAAGGGAAACAGAGGGATGCATCAGCGAAATTGCCTCTACTTTCTGTCTCACTCTCTCAAATTCCAGCACAGGATCCATGCACCTCCTCCTCACCGGTAGCTGATGGAACAGATTGCACACGGTCACTGTCGTTCCGCCACTTGGTCTGCTCAGCTCAGCTTCACAGACATCCAGCGCGTGCCCGTTGTGAAACAGTTTCACAAAGGTTTTTGCTGTCCTGCTGGTCTTTGATGAAACTTCCACGACGCTGGCCATGTTAGCTATGCTTGCCAAAGCCTCGCCTCTAAAGCCGTAGTACGTCAGGTTCTCCAGGTCTCCCAGCGAGCTGCACTTACTGGTGAAATACCGTTTTCCCATTTTATGCAAATCATCTTTCCCCATCCCGGACCCATTGTCCACCACCTGGATCTTAAAAGCTTCCAGATCCACCCTGATGGCTACACACGTTGCTTTGGCATCGATGCTGTTGAGGACGAGCTCCTCGACGCACTGCCCCAGCGAGGTGATGGTGACTCCGGAGCGCAGCCGGGCGCGCACATCTTCACCCAGGTACTTGATCATGTCCCAGCCGGGCGGGTGGCAGATCACAGCGCCATGCCCTCCCAGTCACCTGCATGGGGGGGAGGAAGAAGCTGTAATTAAAGGCCTGATACCTGTTGCCCTCACCCTTATGGATATAACGTGCCTGTTTTTCTCCTATTTAGAGTTTTTTTCAGTGATTACCACCCCGCTCAGGCTCGGACTACCCGTCAGGCAGTGCCTTCAAGGCAGGCAGCCAGAACCTGAGCGTGAGGCCCCCCTCACAACGCACTCGCTGCCCACACCCAGGGCACCCCGAGGGGAGGCCGCACCCCCGGGCGCTGCGCTCCCCTCAGCACCACACACGCCGCGGGGGCCGCCCGGGGCCGCCCTCCCCTCGCTGCTCCCTCCGCCCCCGGGGCCGGGAGCCCCCCGCAGCCCCTCGCAGCCCCTCCCCGCTGCTCCCGGTCCCTGCCGAGCTCCCGCCCCCGCTCCCGCCCCCCTCAGGCCCCCCCACCCCAACGGCCGCGGCGCGAGCCCAACGGCCGCGGGGGCTGAGGGACCCCGGCAGGGAGCCGGCTGCGCATGCGCGACAGCGCCGTGAAGGCTCGCAGGGACTCCCCGCGCCGGGACTACAGCTCCCGGCAGGCCTCGCGCCGGCCGCAGGGCATGCTGGGGGATGTAGTTTTGGGGCGTCCCTGCGCAGGGCTGAGGGGGGAGCCCCGGTGGGGCACAGGGGCTGCAGGGTGGCGAGGCCCGGGCTGCCGCGGCACGCTGCACACACACAAGGGAGCTGCAAACACTTTTATTCTAAATAGAAAATAAACCTCTTGGCAGATAACGCACAAAATAAGTCGTTTCCGAGGCGTTTCGGTCACTAAAGCAGCGCTTTTAGCAGTCAGACTGGCATCGGCTCTGTGCCTTCCTTCACCTGAGCACAGCGTTGACAAATTCTGTGTTTCACACACACAAACAGCCCAAACCTCACGCTGCGCACACCCAGGATAACAGGCTGGCTGCTACACGGCCCCTTCAGCAGACACAGCAGCTCCTTGCCTGCCAGCACATGAATGGTTTAGTCACACTAATGGTACAACACAACAATAAATTAGGCAAGTAACAAAATAAATCTCTCTAGGGTTGAACACCGGCTGACAGAACAAACAGGGGGGACGGCTCGTGCCGCAGGTGCCGCTTTCCGGACGAGGTCACTTGAGGATCTTGAAGTCGGCGTGCTCCAGGGCGGCGATCGGCCTCTCGTTGCGGAACTCGGCGTGGCTGATGCGGGACTGGGGGCTCCCCGTCTTCCGCAGCCACTCCTGCAGCTCCCGCACGCGCTCGGCCGGGCCCTGCACCTGCCCCTGCACCGTGCCGTGGCTGCTGTTCCGCACCCAGCCCACCAGCCCCAGCCGCTGCGCCTCGCCCTGCGGAGAGAACACAGAGAGAGGTGAGCTGGGAGAGCTGGCGGCAATGAGTGAGGTGTCATTAATGGCGTTGGGGGGGTGCGGGATGGGTTGCCCAGGGAGGTGGGGCCCCCCCGCCGCCCACCCCGCCCCGCACCTGCGTGTACTTCCTGAAGAAGACGCCCTGCACCCTGCCGGACACCTCGTAGTCCACCGACAGCAGCCCCTCGCTGCCCGCCATGGCTGCGGCCTCCCCTCCTCTCCTCTCCTCTCCTCCTCTCCTCCCCGGGACCATAGAGACGCGGTCCTCCAGCGGGCAGAGCGGCCCCGCGCGCGCCGTCTCCAGGCAACGGCCGCCAACAGCGGGCGGCGGGGCCGGGCCTGGGCCTCGTCCCGCTCCCGTCACGGCCCCGCCGCCGCCGCCGCCTCCGCCTCAGGGGGGCTCGGGACGGGAGCCCCCGGCCCCGGGGCGCCTCATGGCCGAGCTGCAGCTGGCACCGAGCAGCCGGCCCCGGGGCTGCTCCTCCTCAGCGGGGCTGCGGGGAGGGCGGGCGGGCGGCCAGGCCCGGGCCGTGCCCTCCAGGCCCGCGGCGCGGCGGAGGGAAGGAGTGGACCGCTCCTACCCGCTGAAGCCCCTCCGGGACCACGGAGCTGCCTCAGGAGACGCGGGGCAGCCGCCAGGCGGTAGGGCTGGCTCGGAGGGTGAAGGGAGGGCTCTGCCGGCCGCGGTGCTGCCTGCCTGGGCGGCAGAGCCTAAGCTGCCGGGCTCCCGGCTGTGCAGGAGGGAGCTGGCCGTCATCCTGAGGCTGGAGGCAGACGGACAGAGCCTGGAGGAGGAGATCCGAAAGAAGGAGGCTCTCCTCAGGGAGAAGCTGAGGAGGACCAAAGAGGAGCTGAGGAGGATCCAAAGAGAGAGGGAGCTCGTGGAGGCGGAGGAGAGAAGAGCCAGAGACGTGGAGAGGACCCACGTGTGGAGGGCTCTGAGGCACCCCGAAGAGAAAACCGTGCAAGTCACAGGCAGGACGGGTGATGGGGACTGTGTTAGGGTGCACTCTGCAGAGCTCACTGTCCCCAGGCCCAGCACCGTGCTCCATCCCCAAGAGCTGGCGATGGGGAAGCTGAAGAAGGAACGATTGGTGGCCAGCAACAACAAAATTCGAGACCGCGTACCCGTGGAGGGTTTAGCCTCCTTTTCAGAGCCGGCCTCAAAGCACAGCCCTCCTCCCTCTGCCCTCCCAGACCCCGATTACGGTGAGCACCTGCCTGCAGAGGTGCTGTACGTGCAGGCTGCCAGCGCTGCAGAGCCGGGGGAGCTTGGGCAATGCAGCTTCTGCGGACGCAAGTTTCTCTGCAGCAGGCTCAAAAAGCACACGAGTATCTGCAGCAAGAGCCAAGGCTCCAAGAGGAAGGTGTTTGACTCCAGCAAGGCCAGAGCTAGGGGCACGGAGCTGGAGGAGTATCAGCAGTGGAAGAGCTCAGAGAGGCCTCAGGTAACGTGCGGTCCCTTTGCCTCCCTCAGCCCACACGTTCTGCTCACGTTCCTCCTGCCCTGAGCTCTAGTTCTGACAGGGACGGGGGCATCTTCATGTGTACACAGGGCTGGGGGACACAGAGCAGCTATTGCCCCTGAAAGGCACTTGCCAGCTGGGTAGGTGGATCGATTTAAAATTAAAGAGATGTTTTCTGGGGGGATCAGTCCCAGCTGGCTTGTCTCTGTAATGCGTCGTGGGTGTGCTCCAGAAGATTCATTCCTTGCGGTAGTCAGGATGCTCGTGTCAGGGCAGAGTGGGTCTGTGACGCTGGGGGGGCTGCAGGGAGCAGACTGAAAAAATGGGCAATAAAATGGGCTGATGAAATGAGGGCAGTGGAAACGCACAGCTCGATTCCTGCAGAGCAGCTGCGGCATCTCTCTGCATTCCTTTGGCTGAGTTCTCTGGTTCTTCTCTTTCCAAGTACTGCCGTCTCCAGCAGGAAGTCCTTCAAACCTTAGCGCCGGTCCTTGCGAGCCCCTTTGTGGGATCAGCTTATGGGGGAGGCTTTTAACCAGCAGGGAGCGCTCGGGGAGGGGTGCCCGCGCTGGACCCTGAGAGGGAGGCTGAGAGCAGAGGCTGACAGCCCCGGCGGCTCTGACTGCGTTTCCCTTCTGCAGAACAAGCCCCCCAGGAGGAACAACTGGCGGCAGAAGCACGAGATCTTCATCCAGACCCTGCGCCAGGCCCGGCAGGTGCAGCAGGTGCTCTCCAAGGGCGGGAAGGTGTCCGACCTGCCGCCGCTGCCCCCCATTGAAAATCCAGACTACGTTGCCTGCCCCTACTGCAGACGCCGCTTTGCGCCCCAGGTGGCCGAGAGACACGTTCCCAAATGCAAAAGCATCAAGAGCAGGCCCCCGTCCCCACCGCAGAGGAGACGCTGCTGAGGCAGCAGCCGGCTGTGCCTGCAGCTCCCTGCACTTCCCTTGTTCCCAGCAGTGAGCTGTTATTTACAGCGAGCAAACGGCTCAGGACATATAAGCAGAATATTAAATTTTCTGTACTTTGACCTGTGCTGGGTTGTGCCGCTTGTGGTGCCCGCCGAGGGCCTGCGCCCCCCATCCAGCGATCTCAGCAAGAAGCCAGTGTAGGTGCAAGGATGGCACTGCAGAGACAGAGGGTGCTGCTACCAGCTAGCCCAGGACAGCAACAAGGAGCAAAACAGCCATCAGAGAGGGTCTGTTCTTCACATTTTCTTTTTATGTAGGCTACAGAGGCTTGTTTTCTCTTACTTGAAAATAAGGGTGTCTGATGTGAAAATAGCTGCTCTCCTTTAGCTTAGCAGTGTCTGCACACTGTGTTATTTCCCTTCCACAACAGCAAGGAGTGCAGTGGATGAGACAAACAGCCGGGCCAAAGAGCGCATCTGCCTTTCATTTCAGCGCTCCGTAGGTGCAGCTAATCACCCCAAGCGTGCCAACAGTGACAGGGGTTCTGGCTGCCACGCTGTTGCTATTGCAATTACCTACCAGAGACAGGGGTGTGAGGAGATGCTTATTTTTGGCCACAGAACACACCCTACATTCAATACTAGCCGGTATTTAGACAGGGCCTTTGGAAGAGTCCTGCTGAGGGAGGAGAGGGGGCTATGTGGGCAGTGAACTTTGAAAGCAGCCCCTAGGCTGCTGCATTTTACTCTCTTTGTGTTAGACAGCAGGATCCAGAGGTGCCTGTTGGTCATTTCTCCTGCTCTGTCCGAGTTGTTGCAGCCCTGGGCAGTTGAACAATGAAAGCTGTGGAGCTGGGCTTATTGCATTCTTGTTCTGCTCAAGCCCAAGAATTTTATATAGATTTTTATTTTATTCAGACTTTTATTTCTGAAACGTTAGTGCCAATCCTGGGACTCTCTTAGCACACTACCCCTATCAGTGGGAGGTAAACTGAGGATATTATCTGAACCAGAACCGCTGGGGTAGGGGTACCATTAAATGCTTCCTCAGCACCCGAACCTCAGGCTCAGAAGTTGATGGGGATAGAAAAGCCAGCAGGAGCAGGTGCTTACTGCTTGAGCCTCTGTGCTGATTCATGTGCACGGGGCAGCAGCGGTGCTCAGAGCTGGCCAGGCCCTTCAGGCTGCAGAACAATCATCCCAAAGTGCTTGCTTACCCCGTACAATAATGGGCTCAGAAAGGGGAAAGGGCAGAAGAAGAAACAAAAAATAGCACCACACGAGATCAAAAATAGGCCATGAATAAGCTTAGGCTGGAAGTTGGGTTTCCAACCAGGAGAGGAGTGAGGTCAGGGAAAATCCTTCCAACTAGATTGGAGCAAGGGCGAGGAACCTGCATTGTTTCACGAGACTTCGGGAAGATCGTGGAAGGGACCACACTGCATGAGCCAGAAAAGAAGAAGCGTGACAGGGAGCGTTTGTGCCTCCCTGGGCTTGTGGCAAGAAGTACAAGGAGCAGATCAGCCAGAGCTCCACGCCTCAGTGCATCACTTTCAGGAGCTGAGAAGGAATTTCCTTTTCACAGCCACCTCCACCCCATTCCTACCACGGCTTCTGACTGTCTTCCATCCAAAATGTTTAACAGCAGCTACGGCTAAAAATACAGTAAAATAAAACAACCACGCAGTACACCAAAGAATGTCACATTAGAACGCCTGTTAGCTGGTGCACTAACGTTCAGGGCTAAACCAACAATTAAATACCAAAAAGATGGAGATGTCCTGCAGGCCAAGGCAGCAGGGACCTCCAGCATGCAGGGCTTTCTCCTTTCCTCAAGTCATCTGCTCATTTTCACCTTGGTTGTTGCAATAGTAGGGAATTAGGACAAGAATATGCCCCTTCTCTTGCTTTCTTCTTGAGGTGCAGGATAGTTCCTGGTAAGTTTGGGTTTATGCTGAAGGTCTTAGTTTGTCACACACTATTAAAGGGTCTTTTGGGGGGAGATAGATGTCCTATAGACCCCTGTAGAGAAGCATCTGCTCTAAGCTGGCAACGGTTGCTGCCCATGTCTAAGTTATTTTTCCAGCTTCTGATTTTTGGACTAGTTCTAATATTAGACTAGTTCTGTTGTGTAAAAAGTTGTTTTAAACAGTCACAGAGTGCTTTTTGTTCTCGAAGTAAGAATGCCTACTTTGTATGAGAAAGTTGCAACAGGAAGCAAACAAAGAACAAAAAAAAAATCCAGCAGCTCCTTTTGCAAGTCCCTCAGTAATGCAGTGCCAGCTCACAGGAGTCAAAAAAAAAAAAAAAAGCTAAAAAGCAACCAGACTGAACTGGATTAGTGAAAAGCTGAACACGAGGAAACACTCCAGCCTGCCGTGGGTGGACCAGATTCCTGAAAGAAGTTGGAGTGCTTCTGCCCTATAGATATGTGGGCAGAGATCCCAATCCCGTGGCACACCCTAGAAAAACACGAAGGTCCCAGAAAGGGTCAGTGCTGCGCTGTCAGTCAGGTATGGATCAGAACGTACAAACCCTGAGAGGAGGGACAGAAAACAAGGGAAAAGAAGTCACTGTATCCAAACTGATCAGAAAAGCAAGACCAATGCCTTAATTTCAAACCTCATTGACACAGGGTAATACAGGATAGCAAGAGGTGGCAAGGAAAGAGGCAGGAAAGGGAAAAACTGGAAGATTTATGCCTACATCCATGAATTAATGAAAAATGTAACCGAATTAAGGAGTAGTTAAGAAATTCAGTACCACTACCTGTCCTGTACTACTGACTCCATTTCCCTTGCGCTGTTTTTTGACTGTTCAGTGGATTTTAAAGTCGACAGAATGCAAATGGTCATTGAGGTAGGTACAAACATGGCTTCAGATACTGTTAAAATAAATCCAGCTGTTGCAGACTTCCCTTAAGTGACACCTAATGCTGGGGTTGAAGCTGTACATTAAATCAGATACCACTCAGGATATTTCATTCAAGCTGGCTCAGTTTCCTTTGCTGTTGCTGTACAATCCCTCTCCGAGACGTGCTGCATTTTCACTTTCTGATCCTCTCCAGTGCCCAGGTCTCTAAAGCAGCTCTGCCTCTCAATTTACAAAAAACCCTCTCATGGCGTTTCGCAATTTATTAAAAACCCTGATAAAAAGTTAGAGCCAGCCATTAATCACAGCGTGCAGTTTGCTGAGCAGGTGCCAGGCAGGCTCTCACCTTCGCAGACCGTAATGCTCAGGAGAAGCTGTTCAAGAGAAACAGGTGCTTCTTCCCTGTCAGCCTCTCTTCCTGTTACTCATTTCCCACTTGGCACGGAGACTGCTGAGAAACCACACACAAAGGCCCCCTGACGTCACTAGGAGGAGATGCAGCAGTCAAAGAAAAGAGCTGTTTTTGTTGTTGTTTTGTTTCGAAGGGACACAGAACCCGACATTTTTTCCCATAGCAAAGAACCTGCAAGCCCCTTGGCACTCTAAGAAAAAAAAAACAAAAACAAAAAACAGACAATGCCTTGAATCCATCTGATCATATACAAACCTTTCCCCTTCCCCTTCGGAAAAAAAAAAAAGTCAGAAGATGGGAGAATGAGTTTAAACATTTATTTAAACAGAAACTCCAAACCACTCCACCCTTTAACCTTTCAAAAAAAGACAACGACAAACTAGTTTTCAGCCAGAGTGTCAGAGCAGGCATAAGTTGTGTTCCACTATAACAACTCGGCAGCAATACTAGCAGGAGACCGACACGTACGGAGCTAGCACTGCAAGAAGGGGAGAAGTCAAAGGGGTTGGAAACTGCTCAAAGGCACTTCTGCCCACTTGCCCTTCCATATTCAGCCCAAGACAAAGGTGCTGGCTTTAAACTGCTTTTTTTTTTGGTTGCGTAGCTGGCTGGTGTGAAATCTGTGGTCTGTAACAGGCACGACCTGGATAGCGTGAACCCTCTAAGGCACATATGAGATTGCGGAGGCCAGGGCAGCCTCTGTCGGGGGCCCTGCTCCTCCACCAGATCCAAGGGGAATCCAGTCTGTGCACCTAGCTTCCCACCTGCAGAGCATTGAGAAATGAGGATAGCAGTGCACGGCAGGAGAGCGACTCCCATCTGCTTGTTGGACACGGCTCAGCCTCGGCTTCCTCCAAGGCACGGCCGCAGCGTGCCCAACCCCGGCGCTTCCACACGCGACAGCCGCCCTCAAGCTGGGCCCCTCACCTGAGAACCGGCTCCGGCGCACGCGAGGAGGGAAGAGGGCAGAGTCCCAAGGGCAACCAAGCACCGCGGCCACGGCAGGCACCTCACCACCTCCCAGCAGGGCTTTCCTGCCGCTGCCACCCCGCTGGAGGGGCATACCACTACTGCCCGTGCCCCGGACGCTGCACCGTAGAGACCGCGCTTGGTTGAGCTCCGAGATTCTAGCAAGAGGCACCGGGGAGGTATTTAAGGAGCGTAGGTTACAAGCAGAACGCTTCGGCATCCACCTCTAGAGAGAGAGGGGGCACGCTGGCTCCCAGAGGACAGTCTCTGGAAGGAGGACGTCTAGGAGAGGTGACGGGATAACCAACTCCAACTGACCTAAGGCAATTCTAGCGACGTGCCAGCGATGGGGACGGTGCAAGTCTAACGAAATCATAACCCCGCTCTCACTGCAAAGGTGAGAGGGACTCAGGATTCCTTAGAGGCTTCGCGTAAGGCGGGGGGAGGCCAGCTGCTCCCAGGCAGCCTACTGACCCCAAGAGCTTAGCTCAAAATCAGCTTGCTAAAAAATTTATGGGAAATAAAAATTTACCTCATTCTCTAATGGGAAATGAGGAAATCCTGAGCATCAGCCCGTGCCTCTTCCCATCGCCAATTGCCTTGGGAAAGCCTCTCGCTTCTAGAAAGAAGGTGAATTCCAGACAGGGACATGATCATTCATGGTCATGGAGGAAGGCTGCATCCTGTGACCACGGCATTAATGACCTATTCTGGGTAGGAAAACGCATTCCAGCTTCATCAAAACATCGAGCGGAAAAATACCGATTCTTCCCACACCCACATCGGGGGCTGAGCGGAACAGAAGCCAAGCAGGGAGCAGCTACAGGCTTACGCCAAGAACCCAGCAGCTCTGGCACCCAAACCAAGCTGACAGCTGGAGCAAGAAACGTGTCGCTTAGTCTGAGGACCAGACGCTCGTCATCTGGTCGGGAAGCAGGTGGTCTGGAGCCGAGCACCAGCGATCCCGTCTCCTCAGTCCCTGCTGCAGCTCTGGGAAATCGCACCCAACTCGCTCATCGCTGCCTGGAAGTTGGAAAGCTCTAGGCACCCAGAATAAGGCCCTTAAACTCCGTCTGTGCAGGCCGCCGGACGCAGCCACGTGGCCAGAAGCTGCGCCTCGACGCCCGGGACACGCTGTCTGCTGTTATCTCCCTCGCAGCAAGATCCCCACTGCCTCCACAACGAGATGTTCTCTGCTCCCTCTGTGCCGGAGCAGAGGGGAGCCGCCTCGCCCTACTGCCTGGCAGGGAGAGGATCCTAGCCCCTCGCGCCCTAAAGGTGGCGAGCGTTAGGGTTCAGCCAGCTTCAGTCCGAAACGCGCCTCCTCCTCTCACCTAGAGGTGCAGTGATGAGCACTGGGGTCCCAAAGGCAGCTCCCAGGAAGCGGTGAAACAATGAAAAGGGCCACAAGCTGCTACCGGAGCCGTAACGGGGCCGTTCTGCCTCACGTGCAGAGTTAACAGGTAAGGTACAAGAGGAGCTGCTGCCGCTTCAATCACCGAGCTGGCCTAGAGCTCAGGGGCCCTTCCCCTCTCAAACTCACTCCTAGTTCATATCAAACGTCCGTGGGTGCTGCTCTGGAGCCTCCGGCCTCGCTCCTTGTCTGCGAGTGACCTGAAGCCAGGAAAGCCGCTCTCTGCATTCGGTTAGTGTGCTGTGAAGTTAGATGGATCCCAGTGGGCTCAGGAGACTAGAGGCTGGAGCGGCACGAGTCCGTTCCCAGGAGACACCAGGAATCTGAATCCAGGTCAGGTTTCGGATCCACTTCCGGCTCCTCTTTGGCTGTCTGGGTTCCTTTGGAATGAACCTCCACCTGCCAAAACACACAGCAACTCTCAGCAGCTCTGGGACTGGCTGCAAGGAAGCTAGGAGCTGCACAAGGCACGACTGCTGTTCTCCACAACATTTGACTCCCTGTCCCTCCTCACCAGCAGAACTAAAGGGGAATCCCAGTTCCCTCAAGGACCGGGATGTCCTTACCAGAAACCAGCTTCTTGGCTTCGTTCCTGTCGTTACTACCAGAGCTGAATCAGCAGCTCAGCCAAGAATCAGGCACACTTCTCTCTACTCTTAAGAGCGGGATCTGTTCAGAGCTGCTTCCTTCTCCACAGTCTACACAGGACCCAGGATCGGGGTATCAAGTCCTGAGCCTGGATGTGCACCCAGGTCCTCACCTGCTGCATTCCCTCCGTCCCCCTGCAGAACCTCTGGAGCTGGGCACTCAGACGAAGGGTTTCCTGCTGCAGCTTCTTCTGGTCATCCAGGCACTGTAAGACCAGGCCCCGGAGGTGTGCCACCTCTGCTTGCAGAGCGCTGCACATGCAGCCCGCGGCGGGGGGCACAGCCTTTCCTTCACTGCACGGCACGGCTGGGCTCAGGCAAGGAGGCTGCGGAGACAAGAAGGGAAGTCAGGCTGGGTTTGGGAGGGAGGAAACCTTTAGGCCAATTCTGTAAGCCACGAGAAGAAACCATGCAGAGGAAGTGTTACCCCACTCAGTTTATGACTTCCCAAACTTCTAGTGGCCAGGTCAGCAAGCTACCAGTCACTATGCAGTACAAAGTGACGTTCTTCTTCATCTGTCTGGGAAAGCTGGTCCTGTCCCCACCAAAATCCATCAGGTCCAGCCCTCTCCCTAAGCCTGGCATCTGCACCTCCTCTTGGGACAAAAACCCTGCAATAAGGTGGTCTCACTGCAATTTCCTATGTCAGTCCCTCTTCTATCTCACAGCAATTTCTGCTTTTCTCTTTCTTCAATCACACGAACTGCATTTTTCCAGAAGACCGATCCCGTTATTTGCAATTTAACCAAGCCCCAGCTTCATGTCCTAGATTCCCATGAATGAATCTTTGCAGCATTGTCTCTGTTTATCAACAACCTTCTTTTCCTCACCCGGATAAATTAGGCCAAGCCAAAAACTCTTCCCGGCTCTCCCCATAATTCAAACATCACCATTTATGGTCCCAGCAGCTTATGGCTAAGCATTCACTGTGAAAGACCTAAAAACATTACCCAGTGCTCTGTTTTTGGCTTGTTGAACCCAGCAGGTTCCTCAGGGGCCACTTTGAGTCCTTGAAGTTCCTGGTAAGGGAGAGTCTCCTTCTCAGGCTCTGAAGATGCCATGCTCATGGGAAAAGGGCTGTCAGGCATTGGGATGAACTCCGCATTCTCCAGCTCCTGGACACACCAAAGCAGGACTGTTAGGTATGTTCCCCTTCTTGTTACTGGCCTAATCAAGCAGTGCACCAGTACCCTCTTGTGGTAAAAAAGGAGCTAGGCCTAAAAAGCTCCCCACACAGCACAGGTCTGAGAATGTTTCTGAGCATGTCCTACAGGCACAGCACTCACTCTTCTCCAGCCTCAAACCCTACTCGAGGGCATTCCTGAGATACCACATTACCTTCCTCAGCCAGCCAGGGCAGGAGCTGCTGTCACCACTGTTGCCTCCCTTGGCTTCTGTGGTGCTGATCCAGCCCCCCAGCCCCCGGTCTGCTTCCATGGTTCCCCGAAAGCCTCCGCTGGGATCAGGGGTCTCAGCTTCACGTTCGTTTTCCTCTTCCTCTCCTCCTCCAGTTGTGCAGCTCTGAGTCACTAGCAAACAACAGCGACAACTTTACACTTTCCCACCCCTGCTATTCCTCCAGTGCCAAACCCAATTCGGAGCAGAGGAGATGCAGAAATGAGGGCTGTAAAGCCATAGTTAGAGCACGTGCTGGTGGCATCTCCCTCAGCAGCTGCTTATCTCCTAACACTCCCTGCAGGCCGCCCCAGGAAGGCTTATGCACAGCAGCCTTTTGCAGCATCTTGGCCCCAGCCCTCCCACAGGTCCAAGAAACAGGATTCCATCTCCGCAGCAGCTGGCACAGAACCCCCTTCTCTTATCAGCTCCCCTCAGCAATTTGCTCTCAGCTTTTCCTTGTCAAATTAAAGATTCTCAGCTCCAAAGGCCTCACTGCATCCATGTACTTCCTCCTCTGCTTCACTTCTTCCCCCCAGCCTTGGGCCTTCCACTCCAACACAGAGCACCAATTGCATTTCTCTGAGCCCTTCCGTGAGGCCTTTCAAACACAGAGCAGCAGAACCAAGCTCACCACCAAACTACCCTAAAACGCAGCTCCCCGGGGCAGGTTACTCACCAGTACCGATGGACAGGCCGCTGCTGTTGGAGCGGATGGTTTTAGAGTTCAGCACCTTTTCTGCAGGGAGAACAAACATCATTTCAGTTAGAGAGCCACAAAGAAAGCACAGGAACTGCTGCAGACTGCACACAACAAAGGCGGTGTTGTAAGACCTAGAGCTCTGAGCAGCTTGGCATATTTCCCCCAAGCCACCTGGCCTGTCCCCAGGCAGGTTTTAGAGTCTAGCCCCGGGCAAGCAACACGTCATCATAACCAAGACATGCCAAATTTCATCCCAAACCTGCACTTACCAACCACGATGATGGTATGCCAGCCGCGGCATGACAGGTCTGGAACGTGATGCAAAGATCCAAATATTGGCCGAGGCCACGAGGTGCAGATATCCGAGCCATGCGCTCTCTCCGTCGGTGTCATCGCCAGACGCCCATTCCCGCCGTTACCCCAGGCGAAGATATGGTTGTCTGAGGAGAGAGAAATTCAGAAGACTCGATTCGCTTGCTCCCTGTCAGCCTGTAATTGTTACAGGGATTGCTGCCCCTCTGCTGTAACTGCTGCCCCAAAGCATTTGATCTACCAGCTCCATTTTGCCAACGGGAGGACAAACTGGTAACAAATCTAAGAGGCAGCCTCCAAGCCAGCACTCTGCAGCCCAAGGGACAGGAAATGCTTGCTGCTGCACCAGGACAATGCAGAGCTGGGGCACAGACAGTCCCAGTCTAGGAAGATTTCTTTTTTTTTTTATTTCAGAGCAGTGCTGTGGAGGTAGTCCAGAAAATGCACAGTGGGAGCCCATTAACCACCCTACAGATCCAGTCCCAAAGACCCCACCGCAACCTGGTAAAGACCCACTCACCGTCGGTAGCAGCTATGGTGAATTCATCGCCGCATGAAACCCTGATCACCTGCTTGCCCCCCAGGGGGCCCGCCAGCAGGTTAATTCCCAGGTGCTTCTTATAGTCCCCAACACCAAGCTGTCCGCACTTGTTGGAGCCGAAGGTCAGCAGGCGGCCTCGCTCTGAGAGGAGGAACGAGGAGACAGTCACAGCGAGGGCCCGACGTGGAAGCAGCCATGCACGCAGAGAACTAGCAGCAACAGCCCACGACCACGAAGGTCTCTGCTGAGAAGCCAGCCAGGCCAGGAGGGAACAGTGCCAGCCGAGAGGGATGGCTTCAGATTGGGAACTCCGCCCCAGTTCCTTCTCCCTTTGCTCCCCTGTTCTGATGCTGAGGACTGGGACTTCTCGCAAACCTCTGACTGAGGTAGGCTTTGCCCAAGTGACACCAATCAAACGATTCCTCCACTATCCCAAGGGATAATGGATATCCTGTAACCCTCCCCTTTTTTTTTTCTTAAAAACAACAAGTGGAGGGTTAATCCAGCAGCTGATGCTTCTGCTTCAGCTGAGGAACAGATATTCTCAGTTCCTGGAGCAGGCATGAGCCCAGCTACCAAAAGGATAACCTTCAGTGTCAAGGGGCTGGCAATCACAGCATTGATAGCACTGCTTCACCAAGAGAAGCCAGGCTGCAAGGGGAAAGGTGATGTAAAGGAATCAGGCAACCAGTATTCATTCCTTAGTGCATGTGGCTCACCATCAATGGATGCTGTGTGCGTCTTGCCTGGAGAAATGGTTCGGATCTTGTAGAAGGAGAGCTGCTTGGCCAGGGTAAGCGAAGTAGCATAGGGCACCTCACAGTACGTCTGAGAACGGACAGAAGGGGGAGCACAGGGTGAAGGACCACACATTTATCTGCTAAAACCTACTCAAGCAGGTCTTGGCAGACCACATTAATCACATTAAGTCCCAACACAGGTATGGGAAACCTCACAAGTGACGTGAAATCTGTCCAAAGTTCCCCTGGAGCAGCACACTACCTGTTTCACTACCTTGGATCTGACACAAGCTCACAGGGCAGCCAGGAAGCTGAGGAACAATTTGCCTCTCCCCCCAGTACCAGCACCCATTGTCTTTTACTGGAACTAACTAATTGGCACTAATCTAACGAACTGTCACAAGACCTTCATTTCCCTGTACACTACTGACTGCTGGAAGCTGAAGTCGGGGTCCCAAATGCACTTACATCATGGTTAATTATCCCCGATGTACACTGATTCAGGCCCAGCTTGTTGAACTCGTTGAGTCCGCACGCCAACACTTTGCCTGTCTGGGTGAGCAGGAAGGTCCCATCGCAGCCACAGTGAACAGACACAATGGTCAAAGTCTTTGGAACATCCACCTGTGCGGAAGAAACACATCCTGAGAAAAACAAAATGCCAACACCTAGTACGTAGAAGCCAGCATACAAAAAACATACTGGGTTGGAAAGCTGTGGTTCCGCTGGCCTGAGCGCTAACAGCCCCTAATTCTGTTGGCTTGAGGAAGTCTAAAAGCATCTTAAAGTATCTAGGATACTGAAGTGCTGGTAGCAGCGCAGAAATTCAAGGCATTCTTGACCTTGTGTGCAGACACCTCCGAGCCAGCAGAGGAACCAGAAGTGTGGTGGACAGGCATCCCAGCCAGCTGGGGTCTATGAGTACTAGATCCAGGAGGCAAGGAGGGCTGGGGCTGTGCTGTGTGGGTATGATACTCCGTGGCTGCAGATATTGGGCTACCAGGCACACCTTTCCTGCTTTCTAACCCTCAGAGGGTTAGCTTACCTCAATTATTATTTGCACTGTGTTTCAAGAGGGTTTTTACTTTGAACTCATCTTACTGAACTCATATCGTGTGAGATTCAAAGACTCACAGTTGTTTGCAGTGCTGTGAGTTCCCTGTACAAATCTGAGCCACGCAATTTAGTATTTCCTACTATGATTTCTAAAATACTAAGTTCAGCATTTCCAGTTTCAGCTTGGAGATGAGCTCTAAGTCATCATACTGGCTAGTTTGGAAGTAGCACATCCCTTTGCCATCATCTCTGGGGATATATGAAGCAAAATGAAGTGAAAATAAAGCCCTTGCAAACTCTGCAATATCTCAAAAACAAACAAAACCCGCTTGAGCCTCAGGCAGCTGATGTTTCCAAACAACAACTAATTTGGAGTTATGTCTGTGCGGATTTTAGGAAGGAGCAGTCTCAGGAGTTCTACCTTCTGAGGTGTGTAGTGATCTTCTTCTGAATCCAAGCCCAAGCGCCCTGTATCAGTGAAAACAGACCAGTTAGAAATAGCCTCAGAAGGTACCCAGCCCTAAGAAATGGTACAGCCTCTCCCTGGCTCTAAGTCTCCCAACAGAACTAGGAACCTGCCCCCTGTACACACCGCTGCCTGCCAATCCTGATGGCAATCTAACCCTGCTCACAGAATGACTGCCCCATCCACAAGGAATTCCCATTAATTTGGGAAAGAAAATCCCACAGAAACAACGTTCTTTGTCCCCCAGCACATTCCAGACAGCCCTCACCAGGCCCAGCACTGCGCACCTGCACCAAACTGCCTGGAGCAGCGCCTTTAGGCCCCAGGGAAACAACTTACCGTACTCCCCGCAGCCCCACGTGTAAACCTCTCTGTTCCTGGTCAGCACCGCCACGTGGTTATCTCCACACGAGACCTGCTCCACGGGGTTGGTAAGGAAGAAGTCCAGCTGCAGGGGCTCGAGTACTTCAGAGCCGTGAGCCTTGTCAATGCCAATGCAACCGTAATAGTCTGAGCCAAAGGCATACACCTGGCCCTCATCTGCAGGAGGCAACAGAAGCTCAGTCAGCACACAGAGCTCGTATTAGGCTGTGCATTAACCTCTTAGGACATGGTCAGAGCAACCTATTTTCTGTTATCACCCTCCTTTTTCATGCAGAATAATGTCAGCAGGAAGCTACGGAGTCCTTTCTTGATGACAGTAAGATGGATGATCATGCGCTAGTTGTATCTTGGATACAACTCTTCTTTCTTCTTTTATGGGGCTTTCTCACCCACACAAACACGTGTACTATCTTGGATTGGGGCTCCTCTGCCTTTAATACAGTGTACATGTTTAGCCAACATACACAGCATTAAAAGCAAGGACTCTGCACGGCCATGAGGAGCTGTGCTCAACACTCATCTTCATCACCAAATAGGGGAAAAAAAACACACCCAGACTTCTTGGGAGTCAACATTTTCCCCTGAACATTCATCTATCTCCACTATTGCATCTGTGCTCTATAAAACTGAAGGGTGACACACAGAACTTTCTCCTTTTCTCCTCATCTTACTGTAAAAGCCAACAGGGCCACAGCAGAACGAAGCGAGGGGATAGCAGTCCCCTCCCAGCTCTCACCTGTGATGCACACTGTGAAATCATCTCCGCAGGACACCTGGCGGATGGCTTTTCCTTGAAGCTTCTCCACGTGCTTTGGCTGCCGGTAGGATGCTCTGTCTCCATGGCCCAGCTGCCCGTGCAGCTTGGTGCCCCCCTGCATATTCTGCAAGACAAAAACATCTGGTAAGCATCCACAGCTCCAGAGAAGGTGCTAATACTTACAACACCTCCAAGGAACGACAGAAGACAGCATAGAACAAGAGAAAGTGTTAACTACCCCAGGGAAGAGACTGCTAGCTATGTGGAATAACAGCAGGCAACATTTTAAACAGCAGCACAAATTTTCAGGCAGTTGTGCACTAATAACTGATGTGGTGTCAGGACAGCAGCTGGTGGGTTTAAGCAGAGGTGAGGAATCCTATTCTCATCTGCCAGGCTACAGAATCCACCTCCCTGCTGCAGGACTGCAATTCATCCTTCAGCTTTTTAATCTAAATTCTAATGGCTGCAGAGAAGCCTATAACATTAAACAAATGTCTCCAAAGTAGCCAGATCTAACAAGTTTGCAGAGAAAAATAAAAAATAAAAACAACAACTTTGAGTAGTGTTAAAGCTGAAACTAAAACATTAATAACCAGCTCAAAGTTTTCAGTGGCCATTCTTGTAGGAATATCCAGCAAGTGACATTAAATTGTTCTCTTCCTGTTTGGATCTCTTCCTTCTCCTACCCATCTACTAGAATTGTCTGGTCTGTCTTAACATATTCCGTATCATCGGTGCAAAAGCCTGCGTAAACCTGGAGATGCAGAATACCTCCGTGTCACTGACAATCTCAGTCCAAGAACTTGGTTGTTTTAAATGCATTAGATGCCACCACGTCTGTGTTCACTTAAAGCTGCTGCAGAATTTCCACTCATAATAAAAAGCAGAGATGTTTAGTACGAGACAGCTCTGGTTTCATCCACAAGCTGCTTCACAGGTGACATCTCTATTACAGTGAAGGCACCCATCCCAACCCTCCTGGTCTTCCAAAACATTCCTCAAAAATATACAAGTCAACAGAGTATCACAAATCCTCCACTGCATTTCTAATAGTCAGGAAGGTGAAAAAGAGATGTTTGACTCTGTTTGGGCCTACAGGCCCACCACCACCAATTCCCAAGTGCACAAACAATCTCCAGTGCACCTCCTGGCATGCTGGAAAATTTCACCCCAAACCACATTTGTCTCGGGAGACCAGATGGCCTCCAGCACTGCCCCCTGCAATCACATTTCTCTCTTTCTGTGCTGCTCATCCATCTGATCCTAACAAGCTCATGACAGATGAGCAGTGGATCAGGACCCTCCCCCTGCCCACTGCCCCCTTCCTGCAGTTTCTCTCACTTACCACCCAGGTGTAGAGCTCCTTCTCCACCGTCACCACAGCAAAATGAGTGTTACCAGCACACACCTGGCGTGCACTGCAGCCACTTTTGATGGCATCCAGCTTCTGGGGGGTGGACTTCCCGCCCCCCCAGACATACACCTCACTAGTGCGCGAAGTCACCACTGCGATGGGAGCCTCGTTCATGGTGCTCGACCTGCACAAGGACCCCCCCCAAAACACACGCTTTTAGTAATTTTGAGATCACTGTCATTACACAGTTTCCTACTGCTCTCTCCCAATTTCCAAGCCCAAGCTGCAGCCCTTCACAACCGTTCATGGTTTGTATTTCCACAAAATGCTCTCTGTTATTGTTTTGAGGCCTTAACTGCTATAGACAGGCTCGGGATCAAATATGGCTCAGAGCAGAAGAGAAAATAGGCTCCAGTGAGCATTAAAGGAAGCCTACAATCCAACCGAGGGCATAAAAAGAAGCAAACACCTGGGCTTTCAGTGAGTGGCCATGGACTTGTTCTCAATTCTGAAAAAAAGAGTCATGAAATTTTGCTCAAAAACCAGCAACATCCAAAAGCTGATAAATTCCCTCTATCTCCTCTTTAAATTACAGGCATTCCATCCGAGGGAAAAATGTGTAACTCTTCAATGCAGACAGAAATCAATTCACAAACAGATTGCAAAATGAAAGTTGTAATCAAAGTAAACAGCTTGTGAGCAACTCGCCAACTGGAACAACCTCACCTAAAGTGCTCAGATAGAATTTGACCTTTTTTTCTGATAAATTTGGAAGCACTATCTGATAATTCAAGAGAGGTATGTCACATGTATGCAGCTTTACATGTCACAGAAACTATCTGCCTCATGGAGCAACCCTGCTTACAGTCTCCAGGGGCTGCACACATCCAGTTCTATGAAAGATATCCATGTTCATTTCATAGTCAACACTCAGGTAGCTAGATTTCTCCTGCTCAAGGAAATCTGCCTGAAAGCAGGGATTTACGTTACAGCCTCAGATATGTGGGCTGTGACGTCTACATCCGCAGCAGGACAGATTACGGCTGTGAGGACCTGCTGAGGTAAGGGGCCAGCCATACACAGAGGCAAGGTATAAAAGGCAGAGTAAAATGTGGGACAACCACGTAACAAATTTGTCAAATTCCTAGCGTTTAGGGATCTTCTAAACAACACCATCCCATTAAGGTTGTCACAGACTAACACTCAGCAAAGTTCCTCTCTGGGGAGCTGTTCTATCCCAACTTCCTTTCAAACATATGCCCAAATAATTACCTCGGTCGCTTATTTGGCCCATTAAGCAGTGTGACTTTCTCTTCCATCTCCCTGCCAAAGGACAAAAAACATTTTAGGAAACAGCAACACATCTCCCAAAGCAATTTACTGACGAGCAGCATGCACAGACGCTTTCCTTTCCTATAAAATGCTGCTCCCTCTTGGAGGAAACGAGACAGCTTATTACCAGCTCCTAGCAATACACAAAGTAGGGCAGAAGTAATGTGCCATAAAGCTAACAAACTTCCAGGAGTGCAGAGGACAAACTAGATAATTACCAGGACTTGGCCAACCAATACTTACATTGCAATAGAATTATCTTAAAAGGCTACGTATTACCAGGATTTGGGATTTATGTTTACAAAGTGCATCCAGCAAGACAAAACTCAAGCTTCGGTGACCACCAAGTAACAATTTCAGAGTAAAGGACTAAGCCTACTGCCCTCCAGGCAACCAAAGCAGGATTCAAACAGTCCAAAATTCTGTTCCACCTTTCATAAAAAGACAGTGCAGGCAGGCTGATTGTCAAACGAAGCTAAAATGGACCACTTTCAATGCAATTCCCTCAGGAAAAAGGAGGCACAGGAAAAAAGTGACAGTGTCTACACTGTATGAGACATACATTATGAAAGGCCTTTTTCAATGACCAGGTGAGGATCTAACACTCCGTTTACAGACTTGAAGAGCAAGAACCAGCATTCCTCAAAGGACTGTCAGAATGGGATGCCTCAAGGTTCCCAGTACAACAGCTTCTGAGACAAGGGGTGCAGAGACCTCTCATGTACCAACAAGACAAGGATTGATCAGGAAACAAGACAGCAAAGCTGCCCTTCTATCCTAAAGAACGTGAAATGTACTTCAACAACTGCCTCGCATCAGGCCAAATTAACTTAAGGACTCTGCTTCAAAACTGTAAATGCTACTCGTTTGCCACCTGGCTTGTCCAGGTTTCAGGCAACACCATCCATCCCATTACCTCCTCCGTTTGCTGAGGATGGGCTGTTCCAGCAGTTCATCTGCAGTAGGTCTTTTCTCTGGATCCTGAAAGAGGTGAGCAACAAGTCATTCTCTAGGGAATGCTCATCACCTGCAATGACTGAACCTTGGTCTGAGGTTGCAAGGACCTTCTCTTCCCTGACTCCCCTCAGAAGGGAAAGGAACTGATCAGATACTCAGAACGAATAGGGATAAATGCCAGGGATGTGCAGTACAGAATTCCCCACTCTGAAGGTATCAATACTACGCTTGCTTCCAAAAAATTAATTTTCTACGGAAACCCAGAGTTACGATCAGAAAGCCAGAACCTTAAGTGGCTGTACTGGGATGATGCTCTCATCTCCACAACACTGCATGAGAAAATAATTGCTTCTGCCAGCCTGTACAGTAATTGTAACCAGAGCAAACCCAGCATCCCTCCAGAGCCTGCAGGGCTGAAAGGCAGCTTGAGATGATGCTCTTAGACAGCAGGAGGAAGCCCAGCCTTAGTGAAGCCTCGGGCCTCAAAGAAATTATCCTGTACCAACAGTCCTCATGCTGAAACAGGCACATCATTCCCCTTCGCCCCTGAACTGCACGGCTCAGGAAGCTGGGCAGGGGGGTCTGAAAATTAACAAGTATTTCACCAACCTGATCGAGGCAGGAATGCACCATCTGGATTAGCTCCCGAGAGTAGACAGTGGAATCAACCTCCATGGCGCGATTCCCCTGTACAATCTTCACGCAAAGGTTCAGGGGATTCTAGGCAAAACAAAACAAAACAAAAACAAACAGAAACCATCAGTTCTCTGATCAGAACACATCCCTCTTCTTCCCTGCCTACAAGGCTCTCCAGAATCCTAATAGTTCCTGCAGGAACGGTACCCCTGATAACCAGGACTTGGTGGCAACATCCACTTTTTCACCAAATCCCCTGCCAGTGGAGGGAGGACAGATTCCCCTCTGCACGCAAGCTCCTACAGAGCATGTTGCCATTAAAACACCACACAGCAGCACAGTCACTGTGCGCTCAGTAGCTGTGATGAGAGGAAATCAGGAAATGATGTATTTTCACATGACTAAGAGTTACAGAATCATACACTGTGTCAGCCTGCAGCTTTTCCCACCTGATGCCACAAGCAGGCAAATCACATATTCCAGCCAGCAATGCCCCCTTTTACTGCTTCCCTGACAGCCTGACCACTCTTCTCTTGCACCCAAACTTTGGGAAAGAATAACAGGACTAAATCCTATGAAACCTGAAGGCAGGAAGTTTTCCCTACTGAATGTTGCACAGAAAATTCATAGCTAGTAATGCTTGGGGGAAAAAAAAAAAAAAAAAAAAAAAAAAAAAAAAACAACCACCCCTACGCAATCACAAACTTCCCCCTTGTGGAGAAAAGGATGTTTCACTCGCAACCAGGAGGCAAATGAGCACAGTTTACAATCTGCGTCTGGTAAACCCAGAGCTGCAGACAAGAAGGGGTTTGGCAGAGGCCACAGAGGCACCTGGAGTCCAGGGCAGGGGAAATCTTTCAGACAATCTCTGGCTGTAGTTGGCAATCCCAAGCCACTGTTTTCTTAATCAGCAGATTTGAACAACGAAAGAAAACAAGTGTATAACACAGGGTGATAAAAACAAGGTTATTCAGTCCTGGTTTGCAGACTTACAGTAGCATCAAAGGTCCTCTTCAAAGTAAGAAGCTCAAAGATGACACAGCCCACAGCCCAGATATCTGATTTGAAGTTGTATTTCACACCCTGGCAGAGTTCTGGGGACATGTAGTAAGGAGTTCCCACCAGCTAGAAAAAAAAATAAAAAAAATCTGAAAATCATAAACAATCCAGCATTTTTCAGTTCTGAAGCTCTGCATCCATCCTGTCCACACAGGCCCACGAGCATCAGGGCTCAGCACAGCCCCAACACGCAGCACTAGTGACACAGGTGACTCACCCCACCATGTGCTGGAGGAATGGGAACAACAACCACGTTTCTTCCCTCTTCATCCACAACCCTGGGCCTGCGTTTCTTAGAAGCTCCTAGACACTACTGCTCAGATTCTGATGTGGCACATACTTCTCAGAGGAGCAGCAATCACGACACCACAGCAAGGACTTGTCCCTCTCTTACATATCCTGCATTTAGAGGCAGACAGGGATTCCTGTACTGACCAGACACGCAGAAATCCTGATGAGAGGTTGATGGAAAAGGGATCTAGCAAAGATGCCAGCCCATGCCTATGGAGCCAGTCTGATCACAAGGCACTGCTGGGACAAAGACAACTGTCTTTGACCAAAGTTACTTTGGGGTCAGTACGTAGAAAGCTGGCTTGGGTCCTACCTGAAAGATTTTTGCTTCAGAAGTGGGCTTTCCTGAACAATTGCTTCAAGTAAATCCAAAAATGCCCCAAATCCAAAACCCCAGCACTTATATAGAGAAGCCCTTCCAGCTACAACAGAAATAGTGGCAGAGCTCAAAGTCACAATAAGGAGACACAGAAAGAGCACGACGAAAGGTGTAAGAATGAAGCTGCTGTGAACAGAGCTCATTTCCTAGCAAGCAAGCAGACAGTGAAATAAAGTGAAAAAGACAGAATTTAAGAGAGGAGGAAATATTTATAGCTGCCCTCTTCAACTCTCTGAGCAAAGCTCCAAGGATTACAAAGGCTGTGGCTTTCATTAGCCTCTAATAGTACACCTGAAACCTAACAGGCACATTCCGAATCTGTCGCCTACCTTCCATTTCCTTTGACGCAGCATGACAGCTACAGAGCTGCACGAGTCCTAACCACAGGAAGGGTTAGAACCCCAGCTAGCTGGAATATCCTAGGGAGAACTAGGACACTGCACCTACACTGTCCTGTGCTTAAAAAACGTGCAAGACAGTTTTCTGTATCTTCCCTGGTAACTGGGAGAAATGGGGGATAAATTAAGAAATGAGCATTTAGTAAGCAATGTGTATGTGTTTCACAAAATCATAAAGGTGTAAATATCTTATAAAATCGTGATTTGACCATTACAATTACAAGCTTCATCATGAAAAACAGTAATAACAACTGGTTTGCACTCATTTTGCAACATACAACTTCCTGACTGCCATTGGCTATTACACCACAAAGTGCAGAGCTAGCCTACAGCACCAACAACAGATACAGGAAGAAAGGTGGCTGAAAGTATTTACTTCAAAATCTTTCAGTAGGGAAGAAGGAGGGGGGAAAAAAAGCTCATAGGTGTAGATAAACATATATAACATAGGCAAAAAAAAAAAAAAAACAACAGGTAACTTATAACACAGCCGGCAGTTCCTCTGAGAGCCAGAAAGCCATGAAAAATGTGATGAAACAGAAATGGTTTTGCTATAGCCCAGCTTAGGAAGTGCTTTATGCAGTAGCCCCGAGTTCCATTTACTGTCCAACTGCACAATAACGTTCATATTCTGGAAGGAAGTTGGCAAGTGTTTAACTGCACATCCTAACAGAACACCAATAGCTTGCGTTAAGTCCAATTATAAGGCCTGGTAAAGGGAAATGCAAGCTGGCTTGCATCCTAAACTGTAATAAAAGCCTTTAGCAGATAGAAATTCCAGACAATGCCTTCCTTTCCAAGCCCAGTGCTCAACCACAGAAATTAATGGAGCTGAGAAATCTAAGCAGAGCCTTTCAGGTGCCTGCAATACAGCTTATCCTGTTTCATAACTCTGGCTGTGAAACTGCTTTCTGGAAGGGTCTGGAAATAAGCCAAACTTGACAGCCTTCTGCTAGAATTCATCTCCTGTGCAAGCTTTGTCCCCCTCCTCCTTCCCCCCAAGAGCATTACTAATAAACTATACTAACTATCTCCTTACCATAAGAAGCACACGTGCCTCCCTTGCTTCTCCGTAATTCAGTTCAGAGTCTACATATCAAAGAGATAGGAGGCACGGTGCAATCTCAGGCAAACACAGCCGAGCAATCTCAGACCCAACTGAGACAAAAATACCCATTAGCACAGCAGAATGACCAGTTAACTTGCTAAGATGGGCTTGATGAGCACTGAGGGAGAGTTTATTCATGTGACTATGCTGCTGTCTGTGTGCCCTCTGATACCACCACCTTCATCTTATGTAAATTCACCTTTGGAACTCCCGTACTAGGTACCAGGGAAAGAACAGCACTCTCTAACCTAGCTGTGCTGGCTCTGGTACAACTCCATGCCCACAGTGTCACTTATCTTTAGTCTGCTGTTCCTTTGCAGAGAGAGAGACCTCCAAAAGATAACCTGGGAGCAAGGATAACTGTAGGCTGCAACACATCAGCAAATCTGCCCATGTCAGTGAGATAAGTTAGGTAGAGAGGAGAAGGAAAAACAGCATACAAGCAGCAAGAAAGTTCAGCATTCCTGGTCTTCTGCTAGGCATACAGAGATGAAAGGGAAAAAAACAAAACCCACTGGGTTCCGCACAAAAGACATCAGATACTCACGGTCTCAGCCATGGAGTACTCAGAGTTCAGCTTCTTTGCCAACCCATAGTCTCCCAGTTTAATCAGGTTTGCCTTGGTTAGAAAGATATTTAATGTCTTTATATCTCTGAAAGGAGACAGAAAAATGCAGATGTTCAAACACACTTCCAAATTTCTCAATTTTCCACACACTCCCACACTCCCCCTCCCTCCCCATGAGGTAACTTCTGCTCTAACAGCAGACAGCTCCAACAGCTCACCAAAGGCAATCTGACTCCAGGTACTGGGGCAGTAAACATAGCTATATTATCATATGCCCACAAAAACACAGTCTAAAAAGTTCAGGCTTCCAGACACCTATATAAAAGCCATCAAGATGGTTCTTTTCTTCCTCTCAGCCTCTTCTCAGTTGAAGGCCATTGAACAACTCTTATTTTCCCTGCTTTATTAAAAGGATCCAAGCCAGGTGTCTCTGAGCTCACTCAAAAATATGTATGCATGTAAATATAAATACACACACACGAGGTGTGAAACAGATGCCACTCTAGATCTTAAGCATAACATCCCTCTATCTTACACCTGAGGAACAACTCTGTAATTATAGCATGATGTACTACACCCCAAAGGTCAAGTCTGATGGCCACAAAAATGTGGAACACCAAAACATTTTGTCCCAGACAGAACAGCTTATATGTAGATTCACAGATCAACACAGGGAGGAAGCCCCCACAGCATGATTTGCTTCCCATGGCCGATGCTTCTTAACACCCCCTTTGCCTAACGTACCATCAACAACTTCCCAGTGCAGATCAGGACACCACCAAGTAAAGCAGCACTTTGCATTCATCCACTTGGGGCATCGCAAAGTCCTGGGTCACTCTGACAATGTCTGCAGCAGGAGGAAATCACTGCAAACATTTAAATATCCGTTCAATTCATTGTTATTGAAGGATTTGGGGCCACGAACCCTGCTGTGAAGATGGGCACCAGAGGTGATAAGCAGAAAATTACAGCAAAGCAGGACAGACACGACATCTGCTGTAGGCCAAAAGCATAGGCACTGCTTCGTGGAGTGTAAGGTACCAACTCCTCGTTATCGAGACTTGCTAATTACAAGATTCAGAATGGCAGCAGCAAGGATGCTGTCTCAAAGACATGTCCTCTCACAGTCACAGAAGGAAGTTGTGCAGTACTCGACCCAACCTTGCCGGAAAGGGCTGTCTGTGTGCGGCACTCCCAGACCCCCACAGTCTCCTCACTCTGCCCACGAGCTGGGCACTCCAGGAGCACACACAAAAGCAATGAAATTTACCCCTGCCAAACACAAAAACCTAACTAGTTCCTCACTAAAATCTCAGAATCAGTGTCTGAATTGCCACTACCTGCTAAAAAGCTGTATTGAAAACCTTCACCCGGGTATCTTATAGCAAAGCATCAGTGCAGAGTCTTCACCCTCCTCACCCTCCAGGAACTACAGAAGGATGTACACAGCAGTCTGAAGCTATTCCTGGTGGAGCAGGTGGGAAGTGCCCTTGGCCAGCAGTAACTGTTCTTCCTACCCACTTTAGCAAACATCGTTTATGTGCTATGGCAATAAAGGGCCAGTCGATTCCTTTCCCATACGGATTAACTCCTCATTCTCAAACGTGCAAAGACAAGCATTCCATTTTCAAATAAAAGACTTCTTCCATGTTTATTACAATACTGCTTCTACCCCAATAAAAAAGTCTTTACAGCAGTGATATTTAGCATCTAAACAGTCCAGCTATGCTCTGAACAGATAAACTGTTTGCTTTAAACACAGAAGCAAAGGTTACTCAACGGAGTAACTTATGTCCAGGAGTGGCAGGATGAGGCCATTACCTCAGCCTTACTCCACACCACACTTACCTATGAAGAATTCCTGCTCGGTGAATGCAGCTCACAGCCGAGGCAATTTGAAAGAGATACCAAAGCACCATCTGCAAAGGTAGGAATAACAGGGAGGCTCAAAACCAAACAAACCAAGACAAAAATCCTCTGACATCTCTGACACAGAGAGGCACAGCAAGAAGACCTGACCATACCACTTAGATTCTCTTTTAGGAATATGAAAATGTGTCATTCCCTTGAGAATTTCCTATTATGGAAATCTCTGAAAAGATATTCCAAAGTGTAGCTTGGTCTAATGCCATTCATAGTGCCTGTCCTGATAAACATCATTGAGTTCAACGAAAAAAAAAAAAAGAATTAGAAATGACAGCTAATGATCACATGGGAAAGATCTACAGTTGGAGTCTCTGGAATTTGAACTGTGACCATTCAGTATTCACTGTGAGCCAGAAGGCCTTAAAATGCTTTACATAAGATAAGTGTAATCATCAACCACATCCATCATGAGGTGGAAGCAGACAGCAGAAAATATGTTTAGAAAAAAAAGAAACAAACAGAACAAACAAAACAAAACAAAACAAAACAAAAACAAAGTGAGACAGGTTCAAAGTAACAACTCTGAAAAATAGAAAATGATTAGGAGAGAAACATTGCCAACCATGAATAAAGATTTTAAAGTGAAATTTTAGCCAAGATGGTAAGGAGACCAAAGCCAGTTGAGCTCTCCATTTCATTTTTCCTCCCTTGGAAATTTATACTGCCTAGAGACAGCCAAAGATGAAAATAAAAAAAAAAAAATCTGATAGTCCATAAACGTTTGCAATACTTAATACAGAGGAAGGATGTCAGTCCCCAGATTTATACAGAAAATTTCTAAGAGTGATATAGAAAGGAAAAAAAAGTAGCATATTCATATAACCAGCCAGATGCCCAGAACATCCCCGCCGCTCCCTCAAACCAGTCCAAATTACCTCTTCTTCAAACAACTTGTCCTTCTGCCGCAGGATCTTATCGTAGAGGTTCCCTCCTGTAATCACGAGTGAGTTAGAAAGACAAAAAACATCATATTGGTTAATGGCAGCAGTTACTCCGCTAGCTACTGCTGGAAACGCTCAAATCCCATAGGAGATCCGATGAATCACTACAGCTCTCCCTCCTTACCCTGCACTTACACTGCTCAGGCACTCACAAAACTAAGTTCTTCTTCTGCCTAAGAACTTCACCAGCGTACCTAAGCTTAAGCAGAGATGATTCTTTCTCTAACACCACCATTCAGTACTCTGAAAAGTGAATCGGTAAGGTAGGCTAGCACTCCCTATGTTTTTTTTTTCCAACTTGTCAGCGCTTCTTGGGATATGCAGACATCTAGAACCTGTACCTAGAATCGTGTGAGACTTTGTCCTGCTCAGCAGGAAAAAAAGAAGATAGTGCATTAAAAACAAAGCATCAAAACAACACAATTAAAAGTCACACAAGCCTCTGAAAACACAAATTATTGCCTTTCCCCACGTACTGCCCAGCTCTGACCTGCCTCTCCATCTGCCCTGCCAAATACATCGACAAAGAAGTCACAAAGTGTTGACAACAGCAGCGCAAGCCACAGAAGCCTGAAGCCAGCAAACAGCTTTCTGAGGGCACCTCACAGCTTCAAGACAAAAGACTGAAAAATCAAGGCGAGCTACAAGAAATGATGCAGAGTGCTGTAGGCAGTGAGACTCTCTGCCAGATTAGCATCTTACCAGTAAATCCCAAATCTCTGGTCATATCCTGTTGCTATTCCATTTCCCCATTACTGTACATTACATCCTAACTGTAACAGAACACCAGGCCCTTGCCCGTTCCCACGGGTACAATACAAAGCAGCTTCCTGCTCTGTATCTTCCACGGGTCTGTCAAGTTGTAGACGTCCAGAAAGGGTGGCAATGGCTCCTCTGCCTCCTTGAGGGGCTTTCAGCACTTCCACATTAAGCAGATCTTTCTGATATTCTGGTTGAGATTCACTTTGCATAATTTCTTCTCATTCTGCCTTGCTATAATCTTCCAACATGCTTTTTTTTTTTCCAGCCTTATGTTCACGCTTGTAAATGATCTACGAATGACTCTTCACATTCACAATTTAACCAAAGTATTTGCTTCTGCCTCTTCTCATGAACCTTTCCTTGTGATTCAGACTACACAGTTTTTTAGCAACTTCTGTTCCTCATCTTAATTTTATTCCATATTTTTTCTGCTTTTCTGAGCCAAAGTGTGGCACACCAAGTACTATATCACCAAAAACCTACACAAGGAGACGAATTAGCTCTTGACTCAGATAATCAATACCTCTATGCACACATACTGAAAGAAAACCAAATTACTTTCTTTTTTTGTTTCATCTAATCACATCGAAATTTTGAGCCTGTTCTCTCTTCAACAGATGTTTTATGGAATACTTCTTCCCAAATCTAGTTCAGATGTATTCAATTATGTTATTTCCATGATCAATCTGAGTCTTACGGTACCACTATATACAGATAGAACTGTGCAGAGGTCAATAACTCAGCTTCCTCACCTGTAAAATTGGGCTAATATCTACCTGGATTTAAAAGGCTTTCCCGGATCTCCAGAAAAAAAAAAAAAAAAAGTGCCAATCAAACAGTAAGAACTCTGGATATTTAGTTACTCTTTTTGTCCTTGCTGTATTTTCGGATTCTGAAAAGTGCAACTAGTCCAGCCATAGTTTACAAATTACTAATTATCTTGGGCTTGAACATTGTAACAAATAGAAATGTATACCACACACCCTCTCTCCATGTCCTGTGGCAAATTTATAATGGCCCCAAGCGTGCAGTCATTTTGGGGCAGGGAAATAACCCACAGAGTACTCCTAAATCAAAGAGCTACAGCGTCCTTCCTCTTGCATTCGAGTCCACCCTGCATAGCAAAACACAGTGAGCTCGAGAGGCAAAACCAGCTCTGGCCAATGTGTCAACCAGGGCGTTTGACAAGTCTGCCGCCCTCTCCAGCCCCAGTGAAAGCTGTCTGTGTAAGGTGATGCCACCACGTCAGTGTTCTTTTCCATCAGAAAAAGCTTCTGCTGACAGCCCGAGGGTTAGCATAGCCCCCGAGCACACACAGGACAGCTGGCCAGGTGTGCTGCCCCACGCACCCCAGTAGGAAGCAGGCTGCAGGTCTGGGTAGGTTCCCTGTTTTGGGGTATTGGCTGAGCATTACCTCTCCTTCCAGCTCTCTAAGGGCAGCTCAGACCCTTGGATCAAGTCCTTCCACCTCCGCAGCTAGCACTGCTTACTCTGCAAACTCCAAATGTCATCATCTGATCTGCTCTTGGATGAAACCTGGAGGTTTTCTCCACCACCACAAGGACTAGATTTTTCTTATTTAATAGTAAGCACAGAAGCTGATAGCACAAGACAAGAAAAAGTCCTGATCGTGGTGTGCCAACAGATTTTCAAGCTTTGATTTATAATTGCTGAATGAAGGGGGTCTGTTTAAGCGACACTTCTGAAAACCAGCTCCACTCTGTACTGGCAGAGGGGCCCAAATACCCTCACAGACTTTTCCCACCGCCCTCCTACAAGAAGGAAGGAAAGCACATTGGAAGTGTACGCCACCGGTAACCCACTACCGTCACTGCACCAGCTACGCAGAACATACACGGAAACATTTACTGCCTGAACTGCCTGCGCTAACTACTGGGCTTTTCTTGTGCACCTGAGACACAAATCACCCAGAAGGATTCTCAATCTCTTCTTCTGGAGCTACACAGCAGAATTCACCTCCATTCCTCCACTCCCCCAGGGATACCCCAGCAATACTCCCTGCAGGCTCTGTAGGAGGGTAACTCAGCAACGTAGCAGCCTCCTGTGTGTAAGTGGGAGCGGGGATCTCACCATTACAGTACTCCAGCTCAATCAGCAACGTGGTGTTATCCATGAAGTGATTGTAGTACGCAATGATGTTCTCATGCTGCAACAGAGCAAGGATAACGATTTCATTCAAAGCATCACGACGCTCCTTTTCTGACAGACGGGTCAGGTCCACCTCCTTCCACACTACAAGTGAGTCATCCTGAAACACAAAAACATCTTTTAATTAAAAACACACTACTCTGAAGAGAACAACGTGTGCCTTTACAGCAGGAAATTAAAATTTCAGGAAAGGCAAACAGGCTTTCCTGCCTCTTAAAGGTTTCGGACAAAGATTCTTCACAACAATAAGCTTTGAGTTTTTATACTTAGTGTTAGGAGTAGTGGCTTGAAGCTGTTTTTCTAGCTGTCTGGCACTCCTTTTGAAAAAGGGAACGAGGCTTCCAGGGAAGGGACGCAGGGTTTGTTTGGTTTCAGTGAGGACCAGACATACTCTGGTTCAATAATAGGGAGATACTGTCCTTCCGACCCTCTGTTTACAGCATGTTGTACGAGGTCCCCAGCCACACAAGTACCCAGGGCATGAGACCAAGCTTGGCTTGCCCCTGCCGGGCCCACCCAGGTGCACCTGGAGCCAATTCCTGGGGGGTCCCTGGGGCTGCCTTCCCCCAGAGAGACCCCAGGAGCCCGGCCAAGCCACGGCAGGCCCGGCTTTGGGGCCAGCTCCGCCTGCTCCCCCTGGAACCGTGCTCCCGCGGCAGAGTTACCTGGATGAGGTGCCCCCACGTCCTCTGCGACTGGAAGAAAACGCAGAGAGACGAGCAAGCCGTTAGCGATGGGCAGCCGGCACCCTGCGGGCTGAGCGCCCGGAGCCCCGCGCCGCACCCGCGGGGCCTTCCTCGGGGGCAGGGGGGGAGGAGGAGGAGGAGGAGGAGGAGGAGGAGGAGAAGGAGGAGGAAGGGGGGAGCCCGCCGCCGGCCTACCTCGGTGCGGCGGTACAGGGTGGCCTCGCCGAAGGCGCCGCGGCCCAGGATGCGGATGGGGATGTAGTGCAGCTCCTCCTGCTCGCCCGGCACGCCGCCGCCGCCGCGGGAGCCGGCCCGGCCCGAGGACTCGCTGCCGAAGTCGGAGCTGATGGAGTCGCAGTGCCGCTCGTACTCGCCCAGCGACATGGCGCCGGCTCGGCTCGGCTCGGCTCGGCTCGCCTCAGGCTCCCCTCAGCGCGGCCCCGCCGCTCCCTCAGCGCGGCCCCGCGGGCTCCATCTTGGCTCCCGCCGCCGACCCGGAACCGCTCCGCCCGCAGCCCTGACCTCCCCGCCGCCGCCCCCGCCGGCAGCGAGCCCGCACACACCGGCACCGGCACCCACAGGCACCCCCCGGCACCCAGGGGCACCCCCCGGGCACCCACAGGCACCCCCGGGCCCCGGGAGCTGCCCGGTGTCACGGCGACAGGCGGCCCAAGGGAGCCGTTGTGGCGTTGTCCCTTCCCGCCGAACCCCTCACAGCGGGCGCTGAGGCGATCTCTGGGCGCTGACACAAACCGGGAGCGCTGCCACCTCCCCAGCCCCTCTGCACCCAACTCAAGCAGTAAAAGTGTTCCTTACTCGTTACTGGTGGCATTTTGAGGAAAAAGTGGAAACTTTGTAAATAACCTTTTAGACCCCGCTAACCGCTCTGTCAGGAGGAGCCATTAACAACCTTAATTTCAGAAAAATATTTATTTTTTATAGGTAATATACCTCATAATCATGTCAGTATTTTGTTTTCGAAGCTCAGCAGGCACAGCCACGCAGCAGAAAGCAGTCTGAGGGCAGGGAATGTCCCCTTGGGTTACCTGACCCTGCAGGTACAGGGGACTTCAGGAGCTGAGGCACAAATCCCTAAAACCAAGCACGACAAAGCTGGCCAGCTCTTATCTCCACCTCGAGAAGACTTTGTGGTGCTCTGTCGGAAACAAGGGAGGTTCCTCACAACGCAGTGCATGTTATAGAGCTGTTGGGTATTTCCATTATAAGCACCTGGTTTAAAAGTGAACAATTTGTCCAGCAAGGTTTATTGGCTGTGCACCGTAACTGTTTCCATACAAAGATGTTATTCTTCCAAGCAGCAAAAATGATATTTTAGTTTCAGGGGAAAAAAAACAAACAAACAAACAAAAAAACTTACAGGAACCCATGAAAAAGCTCAGGTATGTTCTGCTAAGTGCATTTGAAATGGGCTGCCCAGGGAAGTGATGGAGTCACCATCCCTGGAGGTCTTTAAAAGACGTTTAGATGTTGAACTTAGCGATATGGTTTAGTGGGGACTATTAGCGTTAGGTCAGAGGTTGGACTCCATGATCTTGAGGTCTCTTCCAACCTAGAAATTCTGTGATTCAATTCCTCCAGCATAAAGGCAAACTGTGATATTGACAAAAAAAAAAAAAAAAAGTCAATGCCAAAATCTCATGGAAATGGGATTAAGGAGTCTGCAACAGCTGTAGAAAACCAGAAGAATAATTGAAAAAGTCAATGTTCATTTTTTTCCCCGTGTTTGAAAAATAGAGTTATGGTGTATATTATCTGCAACATCGCACAGCCTTCCCCACACCAATGCTCAAAGCAGTGCCTACAACACGTTCAGCCACCCCCGACACTTTTCACGTAACACAGAGTCATGCAGTAGGTCTCACAGCAAGACACACAAAGCAAGCAACAGATGCTGCCCATTCAGGATCATTGGAATGTGGATGGAGAACATGCACCCAAATTCACACTGAATTTTTCACTTGATATTGAGAGCAGCCATGTGGTCTGGAGGCAATATGCCAGCCTGTCTCTTGCAAAATCTTGCTGAAGGAGGAATTTGGACTTTCAGAGGAATACTCTCATTTACACCACAGTGAATATCAGTTTAATCCAAAGCTGTTATTAAGGGTTTTCAGCAGCCAAGGCAGCACATTAATTACATTACTAACATAAGGAAAGTACAGCCCACACTGAGAAGGAAGAAATGAAAAGTCAGCTGTGTGGTTAATTGTAATTAAGATGACAACACAATGAGATTCCAGTTAAATACGTATAGCAAATATACACCTGAGGGAAGATTATTCAAATTATATTCAGAGAGAAAAAAAAAATAATGAAAGGAATGAGCAGATGGTATGGGAGAAAAAAAAAATAACCTAGAGGGTACAGCTCTGCAGCAAACCAGACTCGAGTTGCAGTGCAGTGTAGCTGAAGAACACAAACATGATCTGCTCAGCAGATGTAGGAACAGTGTGCCCTAAAGAACCAGGAGAACAGTTCATCTCATTAAAACTACCCAAACCGCCTGGTGCAGCTTATGCAAAGATCACATCGTGTAATTGGTTTAAAAGCTCTGGGGAAAAGTTCCTCGGGAATATCAGCTATGAAAGGAAATCAAGTGACAGAGGAAAGCATAGAAATGAGACTGAACTATCCAAGAGTGGTTCTACCCCTGCTTTTTTTTTTATTATTATTTTTAAGTTATTGAACATTTTACTGTAAAACACTGAACTAAAACAAGTCAGATAGTCCTCCTGGGTACGGCAGCTTGCTCCAAATACAAACTAATCAAACGATCCCCACAGCTGAGATCACCGATACAGATACCTGGAGATCACAGGCCCTCTGACAGGCTATTTCAGCATGCTGGGAACACTCAAGGCTGAGGTAATGCATTTAGCTTGAGGTGATAAACCACCACCTGCAACGCAAGGGATAGTCAGGCATCAACTCCTGCCGTTTTGCTGAAAGTCTGTCACTTCAGCTGAAACACAGCAACCCCTGGCTCCTTTCTGTGCAAACAGACCTCCAGCACGAAGCAGAACAGGCTTCTAAAGGCAACACAGAACAAAGAATGTTTGTGTTGCAGCAAAAGCTTGGGCTCATCGATTTCAAGCTTGCAGAAAGATCCAAGGAATGCCAACAGGCAGTTTTTCCCCAGAGTCACCACACCAATACCAGTGGTTGTTCAGGGTAGGAAGAACAGAACAAGCAGATGGGCCTGATAAAATTTTTTTGGGTGGAGGAAGAGCACAACCAACCCTGACCTGCTACACATTTCTCTGACCCAGCTTTTTTCTCCTCCGAAAGATGCATCCAGTCCAGCTTTGTGCTTTCTTTCCCACCAAGCAACCTTAAAGTGACTTCTGGGAAGCTCATTTCCCAAAGATTTTGCTCACTTCTGGCAAAGCTGTCTCCAGCCACAGCAAGACAAGCACAGCAGAGGGCACAGCTAAAGAGATGAGACAAATCCATTAAATGAATTTGCAGCGGGTAGGAGAGCCCAGGCTACTTTCCCAGGATCTTTGCTGCAGGACCTTACAAAACACAGAGGCAGGAATCCCCTAATGATCCTGCCAACGTTGGCAAACTACTTTGAGCCAAAAGTCTCTCGGCAGCTGCTCCACCGTTAAATGCACTGATCTGCCAGTTCGGAGGCAGCGCAGGTGTTGTGCACCCGGGTTGTTTCTCAAATATCTGACCGACTTGGGAGAAATGAGCAACCAAGTGCGAGCTGCTCGTCTCTCAAGGCACGCACACGCAGCGTGAGCGCTGCGATAATTAAATTGTTAGTCACATTGACAAGTGGGTGGAAGAGGCTGGGTACGTCTGATGCTGTTTGCTACAGGCAATTACAGATTCACCAGCGATGCATCTGTCACTCGCAAAGATGGGCTCAGACCCAAGGATCTGTAACAGCTCCAATTCTGCCCGGTTCCCAGAAGTAAAAGGGAACGAACAGGGCAGCTCCACATCCACAGCACGGCTCAGACCCACCTGCAACCTACCGCGTGAAAACAGCTGTACGATTTCACATGCTCAAGTATTCATCCATGCAAGAACTTGCAGACACTGATCCTTATCCAGAGATCTGGGAATTCCCACTCTCCAAACTCTCCCCGATAACACTAACTGGTTCTGAAGCTCTCGCATGGCCTCAGCTCTGCCGTGTGCCATCGCGCTCGGTCCCTGCTTGGCACAGGGATCACAGGCTCGGCAGAGATTTGGCAGCAGCAGGAGGTAAATACCAGATCACTCCCTTCACTGAGCAGCTGACTTGCAAAGGGCAAACTCATCTTTGTGACAATTTAAATCTTCCTCTAAAGCATGAAACTGAAAGTAATTTGATTTGACTTAATGAAGTAAATTCTCCCTGGGAGCTGGCAGTGAAAACAATCCAACCTTGTGCTCTAGAGCACCAGCCCTATTTCACAGCCAAGCACAAGACAAGCTGGTAGCCTCAAGACCCCTCCATGTAAAGAGGGAGATGATTAGGAAGAGTGGAAGGGGAAAAAAACAAATGGTTAACTTCTAGTAGAGATGTTTTTTGGAATGACCATCACCGGCTGTGTCAACCCCACAAAGAGAACAAAGGACAAGACTCAGACAACTAAAGTAGGTTGTTTTTCCCCAAAACAATTTTATTTGAGAAAATTGACAAAATTCCCCAAGCAGTCATTACAGAGAAATCCATAAGTCCCCCACATCTGCTCCCCAGTACCCACCCCAGCGCGGCGAGGACCAAGGCGCAGCACCAGAGCAATGACACTGTAACAGTCACCTGGAGGACGTAAGGCCTCACCACATTTCTGAGAGAACGGTGTCTTCATACTCTGAGAAGGACAGGGAGAAGGGAATCACAATGGACAAGACGGGGAAGGCCCCTTGCTTGTACTGTCTTTTCAATTCATATAAAAACAAAAGCAAAAACCTTAACAGATCTACAGGCTTCAAACTGTAGGACCTAAAAGCTACCTTCCAATGACTTCTGTAATTAAGTCCTGTGGCATCACTGCTGTTCTGCAGTGTAACAGCTTTAAAAACGTACAAGGATTAAGGGAGAGGAGTGAACTTGGATTCTTAATATGGCTTTATAAAAAAAAAAAAAAAGCAATATAAGCACTTGCCAGTGGAACTAACAACCCCAGGATCGTGGTGATGGCAAAGGAGCAACAAAACACTAACATTGTTCGATGACAGTAAGTCATCTTTTCACCCTTTCCCATAGCCTCACCCTGGACAACCGTTCCCGCCGGCAATAGATCAGGTTCAGGTTGTCAATTATTAACAAATGCTTTTTTCCCAAATGGTAGGCTGGACCCAGGGCCATGATAACCTGCTCCCTAGCCAGAAGGGTCGAGGCACGTGAGACCAGAACACTGTGCTGCTGAACCATTTGCTCTGAAGGAATGCAGAGAAGGTGAAAGAATTTTAATCGCTGCCTACAAACTGCAGTATGTAAGTCCAGGAAGTTAACCTGACCGTTTTTCCCCAGCCTGCTTATTCATTGTAATCC